TTGTCTCTCTCTCTCTCTCTCTCTCTCTCTCTCTCTCTCTGTCTACCAATCTATCTTTCTCTCTCTCCTCCTTTTGTTTCTTCTCTTGCGCACACTCTCTCCCCTCTCGTCTATCTCTCCCCTTCTTATGATGAATACACACATAATTTCACAAGCTCACTTTTTTTTTAAAACCACATCACGACATACACATTCTCATTCTCTTTCCTTCTTTTTTAAAATTCCTTTCTCTTCCCCCTGCTCAGTCTGATCTCTCCACTCCTTACTGAGAATACACACATACACTGACAATTTCACTTACTTAAAGTAAACACATAGATCTATAAAGACATTCTAACATAACACGGAAATCTGTTATCAGTGACTAATAGACTTTCTCATCTTCATAATAGACATTTCATATGTCTGAATAACTTTTTTTATGGTAAAAATTTACAATATTATGATGGGTTCCTTTCTTCAAAAAATGTATACATTTGCTGATATACATTAAATGTATGTGACAAAGTATTTTAAAGAGCAGAAACGTAGTATAACTAGAAAGACATATTACATCTATATCTATATATGTGTGTATATATTTTTTCATATTTCATTTAGATATCTTTATATGAACAGACATTTTCTCTGATTATAGAATCATGCCCTTTGCAAAGGAGCAAAAGCACACAAACAGATATTTTTTATTTTTGAATGGACAAGGAAATTTTCAGTTAGCTTTTCAGCCACAGATGTACTCAAAGAAACAACTGAAGCATCAATATAAAACATAATAACAAATCATATACTCTAGGAGGAAATTCTTACAGGTCAAAACAATACAGTCAAGCATGAATATCGAACGTGGCCATAGTGAACTGGTATTCAGGTCTAACATTGTTTTCTTACTGCATGATTAAGCGATAAAAGTAAAGAAATACAAGCAAGCAACTGGTAGAGATCACAGATGCCACAGCTCATCAGAACAGTGAATTTCCCTTTCTGAAAAAGGGTGCGTTAAGTTACTCAGTAAAATGGTGGATGGTCTATTAACTATACAGCACGTCCCTCCACTTCACAGAACTAGAATGTTTTATATTTGTAATGGTTATAAGTTTTAACACTTCCATCAACACACCAAAAAATTGTTATAATCACTAAAGAAGCAGGATGCTCCCCAATTGCCTGTCAAGGCCAATCAAGGCTGAATGAAACAGTGTCCCTGAATGCATTATTCTGGAGATGATTGATAAAAGAACTTTCCCATTTGGAGAATTTCACTATTTTTACTTCCTCTACCTGCCACAGTGAAGATCATAACTGTATTACCACAGACATAAGTACTGGAAAGTGTAAATATGGTGCACTACTACACATTTTTTTGGTCTGTCCTCAGACAAAATAACACAATATTAAGTGATTACATTTTGAACAAAAATTGCTCCTTCTGACATAATGTATGGAGACAGTAATAAATGGACAAAAACCTTTCTCAAAGAACAATTTGGCCCGTAGTCTTAAGATTAACTCACAAAGTTACAATACAGTCGCATTAAGACTGCTAACAGTATTATTACACACACACACACACATACATACACACACACACACACACACAAAATAAAAAAACACACACACAAACACATACACACTAAAAAAAAGCCACTCACAAACTTACATACACTCACACACACACACACACACACACACACACACAGACACACACACACACACACACACACTGCTACTCGCAATAAATATGGCACAGTCCGTTATTTCATTTGTATAATATTTCTAGCAATATATGTCAGGCATTGAGGTGAAATCAGGTGCTCACAAAAATAAGGAAATCAAAGGAACCGGCATTTTCCTGTCGTATGGCAATTTTTTACAAATTTATTTTTGGCTAAACATCTTTGATGTCCATGGAAAACACATTTCTGTGTTTATTTATCTGGAAATTTTTTAAATCTAAGACACAAAAAAACCCGCAAATTTGCAGCCTCCAAGCACTCTCTAGCTTTGCAAGTCACCAAACTTTAGTGGCCATTTTCTCACAAGTTTTACCTTTGAAACCAGGCGGCTCCACATTCTTCAGTCACAGACACAGATATCACGCCTTCTATTCAAGATAGATGGGTATTTTCTTCATTGAAAACAAGACATATGAACAAACTTTTAGATGAAACAAACAGCTCCGCATACCCAAAAATTGATGAGCAACTGATTCCACCGCACCGCAACACATGTACATTCATCCAGGAATGTCCTCAGCATTATTCCTGCAGGGTTTTCCAGTTCCAGCAGCAACCTTTCTTTCCATCCACTCCCTTTTCAATAAAATAATCACGTCTAACACAATCCGGAGCTCAGTATAAAGGAAAACTCTGGTCCACCTGTTTCTGCCAACCATAGAGCCCTCTCTTTATATCCATGACAGTCACATTCTTTCCAGCCAGTTTCTCTTTCAGTTCTCGTACAACCAGCTGGGAATCATTACCACGGCGACACACACAAACAATAGGAACTTTTTCATCTTCACCATATTTTTCCATGGCCTGTGAAAGATCTGATGGGCAGGTAGTCCCACTCTTCCCAAATGAGGAGTACGGTATGTCTGGAGTGGCAAATGTAAGGATAAAACATTTGAAATCCTTTATGTTCATAATTTTGCCAAAGTAAAAACAGCACACACTTACCATTATAAAAACACAAAGAAGACAAATGTACACATGTTTTGGCAGGATTTTGACACAGAATAAAAAATATTTTTCTGGGAGTTTCATGAGCTCGATGAAGTCTTATAGTCAGTCAGTCAGACAGTTAGTTAGTAAGTTAGGTCAGTCCGTTTGTTGGTCAGTCGGTAGATACATAGGTCGGTCAGTAGGTAGGTAAGTAGGTAAATAGGGTGGTAGGTAGGTAGGCAGGTATTAAATACATTTGCACTCGATGTAAGTTAAATATCATTACTTCTGCATGTTGGTCAAGTCCACGTCCAACACTACAATACCTGTGTGTCTTAGGTTCTTGCATTCTAAGATAAGAACAATGTGACCTAAGACCTGAAAACATCGGTAATGTCAGTCCACGTGTAGCTCACAAAAATAAGTACAGTCGAAGCTGCTCTAACGACCACCTGTCCAAGACAATCACCTGAAGAAGAAACCACTTCCCACTCCACCCCCCACCCCCTGCATTTTCTATTATAATGACACTGTCCAAGATGTCAACCTGTCTCAGTTCAATACTTGGACAAATGACACAATTTCAATAAATATACAATTTTATTCCCATAGTGACACTCTCAAATATGAGAACCGCTTTTCTCCTCAACAATAGCAGGCCTTCTTGAACAGCTTTGACTGTACTGTTGTGTTAACTTTTCTGAACCAGCTTTTCAAAAAGGATACTTAAGGCAGGTTGGGGAAGTCGACAGATGTCCAGCTCCACTGCAGGTCGCACATCGAGCAGAATGTGAGGTTCTCCACCTTTCAGCATCTCAGCATATTCCTGGAAGAGAGAATAAACAGTTGTATACAGCTGCAAGCTGATAAAACGCCTTCTTAATCACAGTAGTTTTGAGATAAAAAGGCCTTTAGTCAGCCTAACCATTTAAAAAAGGCGTTCTTCCAAAATTTGAATTCTAATTTATACAAAAACTTAGTCACAGTTTCACTTTAATTTTTTCACACAAGTATGCTAACTGATGAGACTATCAATTTAGCAAATCAAAAAGATTTGGTGCAACAAAAAAAAAGACATATTTTGTCAGCCTAGGGCAGTATACAACACAGTACCCTAGGACATGAAATGTGACCAAACCCGTCAACACTACAGGATAAGCTGTATTGGCCAACAGGAGGAGGAGGAGGAGGAGGAGGAGGAGGAGGAGGAAGAGGAGGAGGAGGAGGAGGAGGAGGAGGAGGAGTACACTGGTAAACAAAAGTGAACGTTATATACTTAGTTCAAACTTCAAGACTTTTAAATTCAACTCTAGGTCACCTGCTCTCTCGACAAACAGTCCATTCACTGACCTTACAGTAGAACCTCAGACAAATTTTTAAAAGAAAAAGCCAAGACAAAAGACTAGTCATCAATGTAATTATACTGAAACCAGACACTTAAGACTTGTGAAACAGGTCAAATACAACTACAGACAAGACTTCATCATATATGTGTACGCATCTGGCGAAAGGGAGAAAAAGTCAGCCCATAATTATGATTTCGAGCTAAAGGCTGATTAAGTTTTTAAAAATCAATATTTTCACCAAAACGTGTTTCCATAAAAAAGTGGAAATAAAAGTCGATAACAGAAGATGGTTAGAGAGCAGGAAAAGAGGTGAAAGGAGAACATTTTACAGAAATTTTTTTTTCTGAGCAACAGGCTTTGAACACGGGACCTATTGAATGAGGCATACACCGTACCTCTAGACCACAGGAGCCCCTTATACCGGGTGCCCATTGCGAACGGGGATCAAGTCAGTTCGTGCCAATTGCACGGCTCATTGCCTGAAAACAAACGCGTTTGTTTTTTAGGCCACGAGTCGGGCAATTGGTTTGTGCCGTGATAGCCGCTTTGTGCACTCAATCTGGCTAGCAAACCAATCTGACCCGACCCGATTGTGGCAATGGGTACCCGGTATTACAGATTATCGGTTCAAGATGGATGGGCTATTATTATTAGTACGTTATAAGATTGTGTCCTCACCTTTGGGCTGATTCGACAGTTCTCCTCCAGGACATGAAGATCTTTATCCTGAGAAATAGAACACAGCAATACTTTCCAAGCTTCAGATAGTCTGTCTTCATGTCAAATATGTCATAAACAATCATTCCAAATACAATGCAATGTAATTTATCAATCAAAAATGCTACTTAAGCTACTACTAAATGCCATTTTCATTATTACTACATAGCCATACACCTTTGAGAATTTATCATATTTCATTTACACTTCAGTAACAAAAATTTATTTCATAGTAAATCTATATCAAATTCTCCTTCTGATGTCATTCACCAAAAAGACAAATGCTTCACATAATTCAGTTACAGAACTTTGGAGAAATTTTTTTTTTACTTTTCATTTTTATAGATTTTCCCCCACTCTCTCCTTTTATGATTGGTTTCTTTCTTCTTTTTTTTTTAAAACAGGAAGGGTTTAAAAATCTTAAATCAGAGGAAATCTGAAACATTTACATCCCATTTATTCTGTGTAAGTTTGAAAGAAATAAAAGACAAAACTGAGCGACTCACCTTGTCTGAGGCCCGAGCTCCACAGAACTGTTCATAGTCGATGAGCTGTTGGATGGATGGTTTATCCCCACACACTGGGCAGTCTGTATTTCTGGGCCTCAGCTTAGGGGTCCGGAAAGTTCCGTCCAAAGCATCAAACAATAATAGTCTCTGCTTGTACGAAGCTGTTCTTTTATAAGGAAAGTCACACTTGAACATAGATATTGTACGTCCCCATAATAATTTGAGCCTCATATGGAAGTACAGATTTGTGTTCTAACTGTTAATTCAGAAAAGCATGCATACTACAAAAGGTTGGTTCTTTTGATGCAATAAGATGTATTTGATCATGGTAAGACGGTTAAGACTAAATAACGGAAGAGCTCTAGGGTTTTTCCTTGTTTAGAGGTTTTTGAACTATGAGATGCAAATGATAATTTTTGTTTGCAGCACTTGGGGCAGTGGTATGAGGGAAGATTAAGTAGGTAAAAATCGAAAACGTAACGTGTCAAAATACAGGCGAACCTGCTCTAACAGACACTTGCATAAGACAATCCCCTGTACAGACAGACATTTCTTGAATCCCCCACCCCCTGTGTATTTTCTACATTTACGACACTGTGTAAGATGAACACTTGTTTCAAATGGCCACTTTTCTCCTCGACAAATGGCCACTTTTCTCATCGACAAATGGCCACTTTTCTCCACAACAAAGTGGCCATCTCAGAAATTTCTGACTGCAATACTTATGTATGAGAGTCTTAACATAGATATTTATGAGCATTATAATTCCACCATGAATGGGCCAGCATTTCCCACTGGGGAAAATTAGATATAAATGCACGTAACACACAAACATTAGAAATAACGTGATAAGTACAAAGGATACATCCAAGTCCAGAGGCGATCTTGATAGCTTCCAGAGCCTGTATGGAGCCAATAATTCCTGGCACTGGGTGGGTGAAGCAAGGGGTGGAGGGGGAGATTTTTCAATAAAGGCCTAGCATTTCATTTTAATATTCTGTCCTCCGAGAAAGTTGCATTTGAAAATAGCAAAAGTTGCAAGAAAAATCAGCTAAAGTTGCAAGAAAAGTTGCAAGATGTGTATAGCTAAGATGTCATGGAATTATTGGATATATATTGTTGGTATGCTCACTGCAATCAAAGTAACCAAAGCGAGTTTTGTTAGATCAAAATCAAAAGTTAAATTATGTGAATTGCTACCGTACCAAAAAAAAAAAGGTCCTTAAACTGATGTTGGGCAGGTGAGACCAGGGTGGTTTTGATTTTGGGGCTGTTCAAATATAATCGTACACCTTTTGGAGATTTTTGCCCCCCCTTACACTTTTCTTACATTTTCCTCCTCCCGTAATAGTAATATTTATTCGCTTATAATAATAATTTATACATTTATATTGCCCAAATCTGTGTTACAATCATTGGTCTATGCTCTTTACTTTTATATAATAGTTAATAGTATTCATGAAAAACATGCATACACACATGTGACATTATAACTAAATATGCTACGTATAAGCGGAACTTTTCCGGAAAAAATTGTGGTAAGTGAATAGCAGAGTTTACTCTTTTTGTGTCATGTTTTGTTTAAAAAAATTTATGTTGCCATAAATTATTTTTCTTGTTATTTTTTCACCTTACGAAAGTGTAATATTACAATGGTTCCCTCTTTCCCCCTTTCTTACACTTTTCTTTTACAAGAGTCAAGACACCCCCCCCCCCTGCCTTTTAAGCCTTTTCCAGGTGTAAGATTATAATTGAACAACCTCTTCAGGGGTTTTCTGGATGAATCGATCCATGACTACATCTACGACCCTCCTGGCCTAAGATTTAAAGCTTTTCACAAATGTTTATACTAGATCTAGATCTATCTATCTGGTGCTACGGAACCAAGAAAGCTAAGTAATCAGACGATCGTGTCTACGATTGAGTTTACTCTATACTACAGATATCTAGATCTAGATCTAGAGTTTACATTTAGCTAGATCTAGAAGAAGTAATAATAATAAAATAATAGATAGCATTTGTATAGCGCATATCCCCGCTCAACAGCGGGCTCTATGCGCTTTACACTATATTCTTACCCCAGCAGACTATAGAACACTCCGAAACATTCTCGGCTTCCCGGGAAGCATACAGTGCAAGCAGCCGATTAAGCGCTCAAACACTAACAAACTGACAAGATCTTTCGCTGTCTATAGCCGGGTACCCATTCCCACCTGGGTGAAGTGAGGAAAATTCGTGTAAAGTGCCTTTCCTTGACGGAATTCGAACCCACGACCTTACGGTTGCGAGTCTGAGAGCCTAACCACTAGGCCACCGACGATTCAGTCCAAACAGGACTATTGTGGAGGTCAGGTCGGGACGGGTCGGTTTGCTCAACAGACTGATGGCACAAAGTGGCTATCGTGGCACAAATCGATCGCGCCCGACTCGTTGCCTCAAAATCAAACGCGTTGTTTTCAGGCGACGAGTCGGGCGATCATCCCGACCCGATCTCATTCACAACAGGCACTGGGCGGGCACCCCGTAATACAAAGGAAATGGTAGATCTAACTTTAGGTATGAATTGTCCCCCCCTCGCGCCGTTATTTTTAGTTGTGGAAGAAAATTTCGGTTATTTTTACCTAAATGAAATGATTATTTTTCCAACTTTTGCAGAAAATTGCCTAAATTTCGTGAATTCACGAAAATGGCAAAAGTTGCGTACAAGTTGCGCTGAGGCCAAAAGTTGCGTGCGTAACTTGCGGGTTGCGCGCGTGAATTTCTCTGAGGACAGAATATTGTAGAATTACCATTATCACCACACTCACACTCGAAGATAAAACACTCTCTTCCCATCAAGACAAAAAATATTTGGATCGGTCCACACAAATTATCAAATGTACCTAGAACTATTAGGAACACCTTTCTTTTTGACATTTTGTAAAGCAATAAATAACGTTTCGTAACCTAAGAGAGATTTTTTCTATCTCACACTCAAAAATACACATCCACACACACACACACACACACACACACACACACGGGTGCGCACACACAAACACATACATACATATATACATACATACATACATACATACGCATGCACACACACACACACACACACACACACACACACACACACACACACACACACTAACACCCACACATGCATACAAACACACATACACACACAGACACACATGTACATACACAACACACAAACACACACACACACACACACACACACACACACACACACACACACACACACACACACACACACACACACAAAAGCCACACACTGACTAATAAACTCCGACAACACCTCCCTCAGAACAGTTTGTTACAGTCTCTCTCTCTTTCTCTCTCTCTCTCACACACACGCACACTCCCCCCCTCCACCCTCACCCCCCACACACACAAAAGCCACAGACTGACTAACCAACTCCGACAACACCTCCCTCGGAACAGTTTGTTACAGTCTCTGGGGGCGGTGGCCTAGGGTATAGACATCTGTAGCAGGGCCCGCCCTCATAGTTGTACACAGTCAGCTGTGGAAGACATGTGAAACGTGCTGACAAAATGAGTTACTTCTTGTAATCCGCAAAAGGAGGTATCAGCCAAAAATCAACACATGGGTGAGATTTGTAGATTTTCAAAAGAAGCCTTTTTTCAAGTTTAACATTTTTTTTAAAATTCCCACTTATGAATTGTACAAACTCAACCTATAAATTTGACGTACTCTGTCCATACATCTAAAATCCGAGAAGAAACTCATTTTGTCAGCTGTGGAAGATATTACAGATGGTGCCATCTTGACATATAGGAAACACCAGGTCCAGCAAGACCAATTTTTAAAAAAATTGAAGTCACTGTGTTTCTACTCCCCCATCCACCCGATTAGAATAATATAGGATTTATAATATCTCAAAAGGCAATAAAGGAAGAGGTAGACACCACAAAAGATGGATTGAGGGAGTCAAGGAAACCCTGAGAAATTCTAGTATCTCAAATGAAAGAGCTGCTGCAGAGCTGGACAGCAATAAAAAAAAACTGCGTCTCCCCATGACGTTTAACGACAATAGAGGAAGCAACAGTAAGTTCAGTAAGAGAAGGTGGGCTGAGAGGGATGCAATATCCAAGCAAAAAGACACAATATACTCAATAAAAAATTTTCCTACTCTGGAATCAAACTCGAGTCTCTTGTCTGTGACCAGCGCGAAGCAGGTCCAGTAAGGTAAAGAGCTGGTTTTGTTCATTTCAGTAGTGTTTTACCTACAAGGCATATATATTGGCATATATATGATTTTTTTTTAAAAAGAAGGGTAGCTGAAGATAAAGAGAAAAAAGAATGAACATAAAGCAGATAACACATTAAAGTAGACAACATACAGACAGTTCTGAGTACAGTTGTCCTTTCTGTTCTTTGAACATTAGTGGGTATATTTTACATAAACATCCCCCACCCATCCCCTCCTACTTCCAATCAAGAGGGGGAAAGGCTATACAAAAAAAAGAAACTTTTTCACATTACATGCAGATTGCAAATAAAATGCACACACAATAACAATAATTAACTCCTTAAAAGGTAGGACATCGTCTCAAAAACAGTCACCAGTTCATTGTCCACTGTGGAATGTGGACCCGGGTCTGGTTATCTTCAATACAAAAAAAAACTGACGAACTTGTCAGATTGTCTACTTATGTCAATCGTTGAACTCAAAACCCTGTAAGTGGATTATTCTTATATAAGCTAGGGTATTTTTCTGCATTAGATTGAAATTACACATACACACACACACTACTATACACGGACTCAAGTTCTGCAATCAAAAATTGCAAATTTTTTTTCTCCAAACTGTCAAACTGGGGACCTTCAGGTCATAAAATATAAAAATCTGAACAGATTAGCTATTCGAATCATAGTGAAATAATGTGAGCCTTTCATCAGAAGAAATACAAAATATAAATCAGTGCAGACATTTTTAACATTGCCTAAACCTCTAATTCATAACTTTTCTCCACTAATGGCACTTCATTGATCAGAACACTGTATCTTTTCCTCAGACACATTTGTAAGCAATAAACTAATTTCAAATCAGGGCCAAAATGGGGAGGAAAAAAAGAAGTAAATAAAGATAAGTTGAAGTAGGTATCATAAACATCAACAAGAATGCAAAACAAAAAATAATAATAAATTGTGAGTGGTTTCAGCAGAATACAGTCATCAATTCTCTATAATCCCCTCGCTCCTTAAATAAAATGCAATTCCCCCCTGGTAATTGCTCATACGTGGAGAAAGCTTGGTCTTTTCTTGACTTCAGTCCAAACAAAATAGCAATTGGGGAGTGACTTTACACCCATCGTGTATTTTCCTTAAGTTGCTATAACACTCGTACATGTTGTGGTAAACAACAGCTGTCCGGAGGATTAACTCTTTAAATCAAACTACAATTCCTCCTCAACACAAGAAAGAGCCACTTTTTTTTTCAAACAGAGCGGAGGCCATGCATACATTCATCAGGGAATAGATATTGATCCAATATTTCACAAATTCAATTCAGAATAATTGTCAAAGCATAAAATAATTTCATGTACCGATAAAAATATCAAAATAAGCACGTAAAAAAGGACATCAGCATCATCGAGGCACAAAAATCGCTATCAAATTCACAACAAATTGGAATTTTATAACAATTGTGTAGCGAATGCCTTATTCAGCATTTAACTTTCTCTGCTGCTATTGCTTTTCTTTGTGGACCTATAAATATATGTCGGTAATTATAATATTCATCAGATAAAAATACTCCTTCAAACAAAAGAAAACCACTCTTTCTAACATTTCAATTGTTAATTTCCTTAGCTTCCTGTATAAGAGCTGGCATATGTCTCCACTTCCTTTTTCAACCTGGTAGAAAAGATGGGAAGGTTGGGGGGGTGGGGGTGGGGGGGGGGGGGGGGTAGGCAGAAGGTAGGGAGAGGAACTACAAAAGTTTGTACTACTTGACTAGAGTAATATCCAACAATTATGTCAAATAGTGATAAAGAGGAGAATAAATTTGCACTACCTCCACGATGGTAAGCTGGTCATTTGCAGCTCCCTCCCCTGCACCATTCGGTGAAGCTGACACCGAAGCATGAAGCAATACATCAAAAACTAAAAAGCTATTTTCCACATCAATGCTCTGACATTATTTTGGAGAACAAAAACCCATCCCGGTCTTAAGTTACACAAGATAATAGGCTATTAAATTCTCATATCATTGTACACAACTTTTTATCCCATAAAATCAATGTTAAATTTTGAAACAAAAACAGTCATCTCTTTGAAGGCTTACTAAAGGTTCACTGGACCAAACAACTCTTGTCTATTTACTCCAAAGGTTACGTTTGAAAGGAGGACAAAAGTTCAGTCTCAAGTACACTTTGTCATGCCAATCACCTAAAAATGACTTTGCTTCACTTTGAATAACAAACTACTTGACTGAATGACATCATCGTCATTCAATATTGAAGTCAGAATTTCAAGGGAAAAAAATGAAAATCAAAGAGATGAATAGATTGGAGCCAAACCTAGCTGAGAGGGGATGCACCATCCCTTTTCACTCTTCTTCTACAAATAGCAATGGATTTAGACGACTTCAACATTTGTATTAAGATAATGTCCAGTCTGAAATAAAAATGTTTGGCTTCTCCGGAAAAGCTTGCATTCTCACATACCACTACCTCAAAATTACAAAGTTTTATCTGCTCAGTGCCTAGTTTTGAGAAATTTGACATCAAAGATTTTGAGTTTCACATCATGTCAAGTTTTTTCACATGCAATTCTTTGAATATCTTGATAATGACTCCAAATTATCTTACGATTTTGATAAAGCAAATGGCACATTTGGTTTCTGACAACATAGTCTTAGTAACTGAAAACAGCCAAAAATGTCAGACAGAACTTTGTAATTCTGAGGTAGCGAATACAACAATGATGAATGGCGGCAGCGGGGTAAGTATGGAGACAGAGTGCTTGCCTCCCAGGCCAAACTGCACAGCTCTAGATTTATCTGGGTTCCAGCAAACACAGTCAGCATCTTGCTTTTTGGCCCTCCACTTTTTCATATTTCTGATCTTTCAATAACAAGACTCAAGTATCTAATTCTGTCAAAGAAGGAAGAAAACCCACTAAACTTAATCATTAAAAATGAAAAAAAAACCAAAAAAACAACAAGCCTGTCCACACCGACAGTGAGTGAACAATGTTTTAAAAAACAATTCCTACCTTTGACGAGTATAAATGTTGTTCAGTTAGTGTGGATACAAAACCTTCAGAAATTTCTGGAAAAGTGGCATCCCAAACGATATAGCACAGACTTGTAATAAACAGAGAGTTACAAATTTATCCTGTCAACACTCCTCACTTGTTTGCTTTACTTCTGCTCTATTCCTGTCTTCCTCTCCACTAAAAATATACTGCATCTTCAGCAATCTATACACAGACGCAAAAGACAGCATCAGTCACTTAAATGTATGAATACATACCTGCACTAATTTTCCATAAATGCCAGTTTTGAATAAAACACAAAAGGCAGTTTTTTATTGGCTGTTGTGGGTTTTTTTAAAGTCAGTTTTCTATTCTTTTTAGTCCCGACTTTACTTCAATGAAGCAATGCAAATAGGTCACATGAGTTTTAAATATTAGAGGTGTTACTAGATAGTGACCTTCAAAGAAGAGAGGGAGGAGAGATAAGTATGGTACATGGTTGATAGGAAAGAAGGAGCAAATCACACCACAGCACCCACCAACTACACACTCAATCAGCCACACAAACCATACCTGTCCCTCAAAACGCAGGGCACTGCCAGAGACCAAAGGTTTTCCTGCCAACACACAGGCATCGTTGAGGAGGTAGCGAGTAGCCACATTATCTGTAGCATCCAAGACAATGTCATAGCTGAAATGAGAGAGATGGAGACATTTCTGGAGGCCTTGAACACAGGGTTGGGTTGATTTAAATCAGGTTGATTTAAATCAGTTGATTTTTTAAATTTAAATCAACTTGATTTTTTAAATAAAAATCAGTTATTTAAATCACTTTTTTTTAAATGTATTTTTATTCAGTTTTTACACATTTCAACATTCAGAATTCCTTTCCTTGGTTTCATAAAACAGATATAAGGTTTAGTAGACTAATATAATCATGCTTAAAAGTCTGCTTTTCCCCCTTTCACTGTAAAATAATACAGTATTCAATTTACTTTTTTTTTTCCATAATTGAAATCAGAGCTGGGTTGATTTAAATCAGTTGATTTTTTTTATTTTAATCAACTTGATTTTAAAAATAAAACTCAGTGATTTAAATCACTTTAAAAAAATGTATTCTGTTTTTACATCTTTAAACATTCAGAATTCCTTTCCTTGGTTTTATAAAACAGATATAAGCTTAGTAGACTAAAATAATCATGCTTAAAAGTCTGCTTTCCCCCCTGTCACTGTAAGTAGTAAAATAATACTGTATTCAATTTACTTTTTTTTCATAATTGAAATTAGCATATTTTTTTCTTTTTAGACAAACACAAGCGCGCGCACACACACATACTGTAATAAAATGCAAGTTTATCTATGCATAATATCTCCCCCCCCCCCCCCCCCTTCCTTTTAAACTGATATTTTCTTCATTTTTTGTCTGTAGCCATAATTCACTGATATAGCAGATTAAGGCTTTCTAAAATTGCAGTTGCTTAAATTAATCATTAGTTAAAATAAAGACAATGTATTTTGCACTAAAAGAACTTACTTTTAGCCACCAAAAATCCCAAACTGTGTCGACATTTTTTTTTAAATAAAAAAAATATAAAAAATCCGATTTAAATCATAAAAATCTGATTTAAATTTTAAAATCGATTTTTAAAATTTTTATTTTAAAAATCCAAAAATTCACCAACCCTGCTTGAACAATTAGGGGCCTAACAGTTTTTGGGAAGGGGGTAAAGAGCATTTTACCGGCCATGAATTACACTCTGACCTGTTTATAGGCTCTAAGTGATGACAAGAATTCCTGTTTTAAAAAAATTCCTACTATCTATGTTTATGGGCAGTAAAGAGCAACAACAAAGCCAATCTTGTTTCCTGTTATGCAAGACTAGGAACTTTCTCCTATATTTATGGGTAGTAAAGGCCAACAATACAGCCCATCTTGTAATAATCTATCAAAATCTGGCTTCTTTCAAAGCTCATCAGTAAATATGAATCTAGCAGGGTCCACTGTGTTCAACTTTAAAAAATCAAAGTCAACATGGACACAACATCTTTAAGTTCAACAAACAAAACTTGCAAACAAAACGATTTCTTCACCAAACTAATCATGAAAGAAAACAACTTTGTTCTCAAATCTGGACAGAAACAAACACAACAAAAACACCCCTATGCTTATACTTTGTCATACATTCTGTACACACAAAGCTTAGCTTGAATTTGAACCATTTTGCCTGTTTTGAAGAAGGTTAACAAACTCAGCAGACAAAAATAAGACACTTTAAAGGTCAATAGACAAAGGAATAAAGATATAGGGAAAGAAAAAACAGACAGCGACGATTTATCAAAGAAAACATCACAAAAGTACATTCGACAAAAATTTTTTAGGTGTGTTATTCCGCCAACTCAGTGTTTTGCTCAATCTCTGCTTATAGATGGCACTCATCATATTACAGACTAGTCCACTGGACAGGGGGGAGAAGGAGGCAAAGATATCAAATATGAACAGATTAAAATAAATGATCAATACAATGTTGCAAAATAGACACCCGATAAACAGAACATATTATCATTGGCTGAGAGCTAGAGGTAATTATGTCTACATTCCTTGTTTTGAGAAGAATGGATTTTTAGGGCAAGGTGTGATAGGTAGGCCTAACTCATGGAAATAAACACATAAGGAATTGCAATTGTAGCAAGATTACTACACTGATTGGTAGGATAATTTTGGCATTCCGGCCAAAATGGACATGGTTATTTTTGTCTCTCCACCCACAATGTTGAATAAAAGTTCAAAGTTAATCCTCCATACCATATTCTTCAAAGTCATGTTCACCTCTTCATAAGAATTCAGAATCGAAAATATGAAAATACTTCAGAAAATAACCGCCAATTGATCTGCAGAGGGTCTTGACAAACCCATTCAAACACAATAACACAATGTTAATTTGAAGACTTGAAAACTCTGGAAAGCCTGAGAGATACTTCAATCCTTTCACAGATGAATGGATTTAACAACACTGGCTCCTTGAGCAACATACTGCCCACCCATCATCAACAAAGCCAGAGATTCTTGTTGTCATTCTCAAGTGTTTGTGCAACCAGTTCTGCCCACAATTTTCATCTCAAGCACCCCCATAAACACGCACTCAGGGAAAAGCCATCTTGTAAAGCCAAAATGTCAAAAACATGTAAGCCAAAATGTCAAAACCAGCTTAGGTCAAACTGACCTACAAGCACTATCTATAACAAAACATGTCGGCCCAAAGTACACACAAAGCGAGCAGAAAAGAGAACCCAGGGAGAAGACAGACCGACGCTCTAAAAAAAAAATATCAGTTGCAAAGGTGAGCCAGACATAATTCAAAAATAATCTGCAAAAAGATGAAAGCTCTGACAGGCTTATTTCTTTAACAAAAATACCCCCCCCCCCCCCCCCCCCCCCCCGCAAGCTCCTTTTCTTCCTTACTGTCCAATCCCACTACTGCAAATTTTTGTGAGAGGAAAAAAACTATGAATCAATCAGTTGAGTCATTATCTATTCGAAAAATGTCGCTTAAAGAATAGGTGTAACAGAAAGAAAACATTTATATCTTCCCTTGAAGCAAGCAATAAAACCTTAAATCTAAAAAAGCTGTTTCATGGGCAGGCTAGATGAAAATGAAAGAAATAAATTTCTCGTTTGAGGTCCTACCAGAGGTGGTTGCAGGCTTAGAACTGCCATATGGCCGATTAAGACTGGGTTTTTTGTTTTTTTTAAATTAATTTTTTTTGTGGGGGGGGGGGGGGGTTGGAAGGAGGGGGGAAGGGAGGTTTGAGATTATAACAGCTCATCCACAGCTGTGGAGGCCGATAATTTATGGCAATGCATTGGGTGTGAGAGATTTGTGTGGTTGTCTTGCACAGGTTTATGGAGTTATTGACTGATATACAATCAAACCTGCACTAACAGCTATCTGTCCAAGACCATCGCCTGTACAAACAACAACTTCTCACTTCACCTTTGTGGCTTTAAAAAAAATATTTTAATGACACAGTCAAAGACGTCCACCTGTCTAAGACAATCATTTCTCTTCTCAACAATGGGTGGGGAACATGGACAACAATATCAACTGAACAGGCGATCATCTTGAACAGTGTCATTATCTATAGGGAAAAAAAGCACGCCGGTAGATGGAAAGTTGTAGTTTGTACAGGTGGACACCTTGGACAGGTAGACACTAGAGCAGGTTCGACAAACTGAAACTGAAAGTCCTGTCAATAGCCACAAAGTCTGATGTGTTGAAGTAACAAACTTTCAACAAATAAGCAGCAATTCCTAAAAAAAATTGGCATCCCTCAGCAAGATCATATGTGAGGCATCATGGTAAAATCAGGCGCTCCTCAAAATAATGAAACCAAAGTAACCAGCATTTTCCATTCAAAAACACATTTCTGAGTAGATTTTACAGAAAAATGTTGATCAAAGCCACAAAAAATAAATCACCAAACTTTGGCCACCATTTTGTTGATAATCTTACCTCTGTCACTAAGCCACCCCACCTCCTTCAATCACAAATTTCTCAATGACTATTCAAGATAGACTGATATTTTTTCACCAAAAGCAAGACAAATGAACAAGCTTTAGGATGATATCAATAACTCCATATGCCCCAAAAATGGACGAGCGCCTGATTCCACCGCGTCGTAACACATATAGGACTCAATGAAGTTGTGGTTAGTCTTGCCATACAACATTTGGACCATCTGGGAAACAGCTGAGTACACTTTCACAACTGTGTCTACAAAGTCACGAATAAGTCCGCAGGCACTTTACTTCAATCTAAAAAAATTACCGAATCCACAAACTGTGACAGATTTTAATCGGATTCTCTTGAGTCAAGTCACATAATAAAAGTTACGCACCGTGAATTTAAAAGGAAGTGGACACATATGTTTCCATAAGCCTTCATGGTGACTTACCACAAGGAAAACCAACCATCAACTTCCAAAATGGTAGGAAAAGGGTGGCTTTTTAGTTTTAGTTTTAGTCATTTTAGTAGTACAAAATTCGTGGCATCTTACAACACAAATAGGTCATAAAAGTGTCAGAGACTAGAGGCGTTACAAGAGAGTAAAATACAAAGAAAGAAAGGACGATAGATGTTTGATGGGAAAGAAGGAGCAAACCACACTGGAGCACCCGCAAACCACCAATAAAGTAGTTGTTGTTGAGCCATTTCGCCATAAATGTCAACTCGCAACTTAACCACCTATTGTGTATGAAGAAGTGTCATAAATAATCACAAACGTTAAAGATGGTATTGTATTTTTGCAATGTTTCTTTTAGAGCTGTTAAAGAGGCTTGACACCCAACTAGATGTAAATAACTCACTTCACATGGAGCACTTAGACCTGTGGCTATACCAGGGCTGCCCACCTACCAATATATCTTTTAGTAATCAACAGGTAGAAAATGAGTAAACTGGCTTAAAAATTCGTAATATGGCCATGGAAAACCTTCTTCGATAAGGTGTCAAGAACAAGGGTTGTAGTCTAGTAAACAACTGTAATGTAAACAAACGCATGATGGTACAAAAGGGAAGAAATTTTCTAACATCTTGTCAATCTAATGCCTGCATTACTTCTGGCTTTGGCACTTCTAAAGTCTAATGTTTTTCTAAGGGCAAAGTGGCTCTGAGTGACTACTAGGGCTCAATGCACAGATGGAGTTAAAATTGGTAATGTTGGACAGCTGCACGTGACGTAGACTGTATGGGTCTGGTAGTTTTCTTATTTTCTCTCTGTATAACCAGGAAGGTAGGCACTGGGTTAGGGTAGTCAACATTTTTTAGGAAAAAAAAAAATTGGAATTAGGGGCATTACGATCGTATTTTCGTAAAATGGAATCAAAATCGTAACGATTCTGCCAAATCTGTAATGGTGGGCAGCCCTGCTATACATTATGGAAGCCTCTTCTACTACTGTGAATTGATGCTGCTTATAAATTTCAAAATTTCTTTGGGAGAGATATCAATGATGAAAGAGATGCAAAGATGGCCTGCCATAGAAAATTGCATCTTCCCTCGACGCTTACAGGCAACAGAAGATGACACAAGATTAAAGTAAAAGTAAAAGTATCAATGATGAAAGGAGTAACAATACACATGAGACTACCACAGAATATCACGCCTTTTTGAGATATTTCACCAATGTACTCATAAGGATTTGAATCTACTTGTATGATTAAATATTAACTAATTAACCAACAGTGATCAAAGTCAACTGTTTACTTTTCGTCTAAAAGTAAGGAAAATATTTACTGCTCAGTGTAAGACTCCCGTCATATGTCAATTTTTAAAGAGGCGTATGTGGGAGTCTTACACTAAGCAGTGGATATGCACTCACCATTTAATGATATCAAGAGCATTGGAACTGTCCAGCTGTAGCTGATACGGCACATACTCCACACTGGAGTTCAAACTGAAAGATGGCAACAGCATATGAAAAAAATATATATCAAGACGAGTTTCAAATCTTTTGGGACACAGAGTACATCAAAGGTGTCATGCTCTACTAAGCATATAACTTGAACAATAAGGTCAATTCAAAAGGTTTTTTTTAGTCTTAAATCATTGCTTCGGTCGATTGACTGATATGTGGATCCTCCATAAAAATATCAACTGTCAACATGTAGCCTACTATAAACAGGATCAGTGTACTGTGGGTTTACCCTTTTCACTTTGTGTCTTCTCTCATCATACAAAATATAACAGAATTGTTTTTCAAGAAACCAGTTACACAGTTTGAATATAACACTGTTCAAGATATTGATAGTGTGTGTGTTGTGTGTGCGGGGGGGGGGGGGGGGGGGGAGGGGGCAGAGGAGTGACTATATATACAAGGTGATCCCCAAAAAAACTTTACAACTTTTTTTCTGAATATCTCGTGCAAAAATTGTTCTAGTATGCTGTAATTTGGAACAGACATAATTCATTCAAAAGGAATTTGTTTGATATAAAATCCACAAAAAAGAAAAATGTATTGAAAACGGAAATGGCTAAAAGAAAAAAAGCACCCAAAAACGCAAAGTTCACCAATGTTTAAAAATCTTGTAAAGGAAGTCGTGGAAAGATTAAATGACCTTTTTCTTTATTTTCTCTTTGGCATTAATTTTCCTTCCCTGTGACATTTAAACAATATTTAATTTCTTTTACAGAGTTTAAAAAACCTAATGATTTCATTCTGAAATTTCTAGAAGCAGTGCTCCACATTCCCTCCTTTGGACTAGACACATTTTTAATGCGTCGTTCGAAATGTTCAGTGGCACCCCAACACAAGGACCTGCTAAACCATGAGTATTTTAAGCCACAAACACTGTACATGTTCAATAAGAGGTGGCTTCTAGAGACAATAGAGTGGGGTGCCCAATAGACAGCACTTTTGGAGTTAACATATCCTGCAGGGTGAAAATGGGCTTTGCACTAAACCAAATGTCATCGAGGAAATGATCCCTCTTTGCAAGGCAATCGAGAAATCAGGAACACATTGCCATGCTCTGATCCATGTCATCTCGGCCTAGCGGAGATGAACATGGTATAGTTGTAAGTTAAGATCTGCCATGAGAATGCAGACTGTTGATATGTAGGAAAGTCTTAGCTGCAGATCATCCACGGACAGACGTCTCATGGGACTCGGCTACTGAAATCTGCACTCTGGTGACGTTCAAAGGGCAGCGCATGGTGCGTGTTCGACCTGAAGTGGTAATTTTTTAAAGAACTTTTCAGTTCTGATTCACTATAGATTCAAACTGACAGAACTTCTCTACTCACGACGCCAAAGGTCTTGAGGACACCTAAGCATTCTCTCCATGCCATGCGCAGAACTTACGAAATGTCAGGGATGGTGAATTTGTGGAGAGACAATGTTCAATACAAAAGGCTCTCTGCTCTTTAGTAAATGTATCCATGATCTAAGCAGGCAAACAAAATTTGGGAAAAATAATATCTGCAGACTTCTGTTGACTTGTTAGACTGCTGTAGCTTGCAATATGGCGCGATTGTTGCAACTTTTAGTGGTAGGCCTAATGTGAACTGGTGCGTCATGCTATGAAAATGGCGACAAGGTTGAAAATGGGTTGTTTTTTTAATGCGCTATATAGGGCAAAACCATTCAAATGATTTATCTAAATGACATATCAGTCAAATTCCCTTTGGCTTTCAAATGTTATGTACAAATCTGAAACGCAAAACTTCAGTATGGAGGAAGATAATTACAAAACAAGTGGTAAAGTTTTTTTTGGATCCCCCTGTATATTACCATTACAGTTGTTTCCACCCATGACAAACCCTGAGCAAAATGTTCTTCAGCTGCAACACCATACATTTTCTATGGTCTTGCTGCTGATTTGAAATGGTATTTTTATACTTTATTTGGAAATTGAACACTATTTCCCAATGTTTCCCATATTATTATTATTCAAATATAGTGATACAATAGTATATAAAACAGATATATATCAGAATGTTACAGTATTTATTACAGCTCTGAGCTTACACAAGATAATGTCACGATACATGTGAAGACTTCAAATATTAATTCAGTTTGACATAAGCAGAATTGCTATGAACTAAATTTTTAAGAGCAGTTTGCAGATGCCCTTAATCAAGACAAAGGGGAAAATCATGACATCTGTATGGACAAGTTACTTGAAAGTTTCTTCACAGTCCATATTTCCTTACAATACACCACGAACTTGGAAACTGACAACAGTGTGTGTGTGTGTGTGTGCGTGTGTGTGTGTGTGTGTGTGTGTGTGTGTGTGTGTGTGTGTGTGTGTGTGCGTGTGTGTGTGTGTGTGTGTGTGTGTATGTATTGACAAAAGCATGTGCTAATATATATTTACCATGCTGCAGCAAATTTTTCGAAGCGGAAATCAATAAAATCTCATCTTAACGTACCATGTAACAAAGCACAAAATGAACCAACCATTAAAAAGTCAACAAAGCAATACAATTTGAAAAAGAACCTTAACAAAAGTGAACTGATTATATAATTTGAATGAATTACAACAACAAAAAACTTCCTCAAACCTGTGACATGATCTGGCAATGGAGAGGGACTTTGACAGTCCAACTCGACTTTCAGTGTGTAAAATCTGTCGATGCAGATTACTCAGCTCCACCTCATCATAGTCCACAACACCCAGCCTGCCTGGAAAAGAATTATAAAATTTGAAGTAATACACACAAAAACAAATACACACACACACACACACACACACACACACACACACACACACACACACACACACACACACACACACACACAAACATACACAAAAGGAAAAATTGTATGAAGGAAATGATGACCAAAAAAGAAAAAGAAAACATAATTTTCAGTAATAGGAAGGGAGACAATAAATCTGTGCACTATAACCATGCCTAGATTATGTACCTTAAGATCAAAAGCCAAAAAGATCTTGTTACTAGGGTTTTGTTTTAGTAAGTGTTTTACAGCACTTACATCACAGTTAAGTTATATAAGTGCCGAAGATCAGAGGTGTTACAAAAAAGTATTAAACACAAAAAGAAGGGTGAGAAATAAGGAGGATACATTTCATGTCTGAGGGAATTATGTGTCCTGCACTGCTGGAGGATGTGTTCCACAGTTTTGATGATGTCATAATTAAAACAATTTGGGTCTCAATGCGGTGGAATCAGGCGAAATTTTTGGCATATGGAGTTATCGGTATCACCTTAAAGCTAGTTTATTCGTCTTGCTTTTGATATAAGAATTGCTATTTAATAGAAATCGAGATGATTTAGATTAAAGGAAGAATGGGTCTTCTCGTTTCAGAGGTAAAATTGCCAAAAAAGTAGTTGCCAAAGTTTGGTGACTTCCAAAGCTTGAGAGTCCTTGAAAACTGTGAATTTACATTTGAAGTGCCTTTAATCAACATTTTTCAGTAAAAATCCTCACAGCAACGAGTTTTTAAATTGACAAAAAAGGTATGGAGCCAAAAAATAAAAATTCGACAAAAATTGCCAAACGGGGAAACAAACGTTTTCTTCCATTTCGTTATTTCGACGAGCGCCTGGTTTCACCTCGATGCCTCACATTTACTGATTACAACGACAACGAAAGTACAAACCAATCCCAGCAGCAGCCAGATATATAGCAGCAGGACAGCCCAAGCCTCCAGCTCCAATTATGAGCACAGACGAATTCTTCAAACCAATCTGCCCTGGAAAGATATATATATGGGTGCAAATGCTTCAAAATTGTGATGTAAAATAAAGTCACAGTACGGACTACTCTTCACAAGAGAATTTTACATGTTTTTTTGCAAAAGGTCCCCAAATCTCTATATAACATTTTTATTGAAGAGAATCCTAAAAATCAATGATGACCTAAACTCTTCAGATAGACAAGACAACATTCTATTTATCTTCACAAAGAAAAATTTGAAAGAATGAAATAGAATTGGAAAGCTTGAATGACAAAATGAAAATTAAGCTCTAACAGGGACGGGAAAGCTACTTTTCCTACTCAATGCCGCAGGTACAAACAAGAGCATAGTATGTCATTTTTTATGGCTCAAAAACAGAGATGTCAAAAAGGATAGAAAAACTTTAAATGATATATGAAAATGAAAAGAGATGAATATATGAACGCAGATACCTTTGACTCCCAGGTCAGGCAAAATCAGCTGGCGACTGTACCTCATAATGTCATCATTTGAAAGTTTTGAAGATGTCTCTAAAAGTTTTGAGACGACATCAGCATTTGCTGTGGTCACAACTCTCAACTGTGCATTTGCTTCCTGAAAAGAAAGCAAAACTAGTAAGAAAAAATATCATACTATACACATACCTAAACAGTATGATTATTTATTTCATATGATTGCAAGTGACAACAGATAAATCTTGATCTAGTGTTTTGAAAAACGTGCCCATTTTTGTTGATTGAAAATAACCATTTTTTTTAAACGTTAGAGACACAATAGAGAAGAGATCTAGAATCTAGATCTAACCCTAAACTGAATCCAATCCTTAATCCATGCCCAAACCCAAACCCTACTGCCCTAACCCTAGCCTCAACCCTTAGCCTAAATTCTATACTCTGATCTATTTTATGATCTATAGATTCTAGTTCTAGTGGAATTCCTGAATAGAGTGGATCCTGGGTATTTTTTTACAACCTTCCTGACTCAAATATAGCTACTACATGGTTATTTTCTACTTAATATTGATGCGCGGAACACGAATATATTGTATTTTACGATTTAAAAAGTAGGTTACGCGTATGCAAATATAGCTTACACGTATGCAAATGAGGGTCACACACATGCGTATTTTGAGCCCCCCAGAGGGTTACACGCGTGCGCAGAGGCTCACTACCACGCCAAGATATTTATTTTTTTCAGCGCATGCGCATATTGTATTCTGCGAATTTTAAATAGGCTAAATTCTGGGATGTTCTGTCCGCTTAATTTTGTCATGCAATTTTCATTCCGAAGAGTGATCCCATGATCTGGTAAGTCTCGTGATGGTCATCATGTGCAACCCCCTGACCATGTACAAGCATTGTTTCAGGCGGGAAGTGTTCATTTGTGCCGTTGTATTGGTGAGTGAAAGATTGTCATGTGGTGAATTCTGCAGTGTTTCGTTCATGGATTCCTCAAGCAGTGACAGTGACAGTAGCTGTTCATCTTGTTCATTGGACTATTTCACTACAATCACTAAGTTTCACGGGAAGGAAAAGGAAAGTACATAGCTTTTCTCCGTGATCACGGAGTTCTTCCGAAAAGTGTTGTTTGTGAAAAGTGTGGGGGACAATGTACTTTTCGGGAAACTGATCATCTGTGGCAGTGCCATTCCAGTTATCTGATTCCAAAAACTAAGAAATGGAGGTATTTTGATTTCTCTGCGTCAGACGTCAGACTAAAAGGGAACTTTTTTGGCAAGGTGCTCAATATCACCGTGGCAAGTAGTTCTATTTGTTAATTATTTTCTAAGCCGGCACTGGGACCACAGCACACTTGTAGAGTGCTTAGGTTTATTAATGAAAACATCTGTTGACTGGTGCTCCTTTTGTTCCGAGGTCACAGACAAGTGGTTCAGTAAACAGGAGGCGATTGGTGGACCGGGTGTCTACGAGACGTTGATCATACGCAGAAAGTACGAGAAAGGCCGTGTTTTGAACCAAATCTGGTTGTTTGGTGGGGTGGAGAGGGTCTGAAAGCGGAGATTTGTTGGTGCTCTAACTGGTGAAGGGGAGCACGGCGTCACTTTTCGTCCGATTCTGTTACCTTCAGTGAGCGTGACTCAGCAGCCCGCCGGAGCTCCCCGGCTTGGGGTCACGCAGTTAATGAGCCCTGAAGCGATTTTGCCGGTGTCGGTTAGGAAGTTCGCATTTTTGACTATGTTTAAAACGAAACTTCTTCTCCATCCCACATAGCAAACCATAACGCAGAAGTACTAATAGCTCAATGTCTTGTGAATTATTTTGCGCTAGAATGGTTAATTTCTGTGCCTCAGTTTTTGTTCTAGACAAGTGTTTGTAGAGTACCCAATTTGTCCTATTTTAGTTACAAACTTAGGAATAAATGATTGTTAATTTTAAAAAGGCACCACAGATCTCTCCAAAACCTGTGTTAAAACTGACTATGAATATCGTGTCTTTTACTATGAGAAATCTTAAATCTGCGCGAGTAGTAATAGTCAAGTTATAAGAGAAGAAAGATGCACATCTGCATTTTTTAACTAAAGACGATCAGCGTTAGCTCTCATTTTACTATAAAACAAGAGAAAGTTACTCTGCGTTTGTTCATGAATCATGCTGTGTCTGTGGCAGCCTGCATACAACTAAAAAGGTATAATATAAGCGATTAAAAAACCCACAAAACCGTGTAAATACATGGGTAGAGATAAACTTCTTGTATGGAATAAAAATAATGACAGCTAACACATTTATTCTTAGTTTTTGTGTCGGAAATATGCGTGGACACAATTATGAATGTAAAGAAATCAGTCACATTGTCAGTTATTGCAAATGGTCATAGAAAAGAAAAATAAAGCTGGAAAAGTCTGGTGCTGATTCAGTGTCCCTGGAAAGCTAGAAATTATTCTTATAACCCAATTACGAGAAGTCATCCCTATTATTCGGTCAAATTATAAGACCTAGACTTAGCGTTTAAGAAAAGTAAGGAATTTCGGGAGTGTAACAGATACTGTTCGTGTATTACATTGAAGATGTATTCTGGCTCTAAAATCGATCTGTACTTTTTATAGGGAAACTTCACGGCAACTTTAATAAACTTTCGAGAAAATATGCGAATATTCACGATTATATTAGACACATTAAGTTGCATTTGGAGGAATTACTTCATAGCGAATTGTGTGCCCGATGGACAAAGTTGCAAAATTACAGCTTTCTATTATATGCGCAGATATCATCTTTTCTGAGTACAGTCAAACCTGTGTAAGACGGCCATCCATTGTCAAGGAGAAAAGTGGCCGTATAAGATAGGTGGCCGTCTTAGGCACGACTGATACAGATGAAGAAAACAAACCCTTCCCATCTGAGGTCCTAATCGAAAGTAGCTGCACTGTTGTTGTTTTGTTGTTTTTGTTGGTGTGTATTTCGTATGTATTTTTATTTTGTTGCTGATTTTGCACAAGGGTGACAATAAAACCTCATAGGGAAACTTCACGGTAACTTTAATAAACTTTCGAGAAAATATGCGAATATTCACGATTATATTAGACACATTAAGTTGTATTTGGAGGAATTACTTCATAGCGAATTGTGTGCCCGATGGGGGTTCCCTGCCAAGCACCTTATCATGTCGGGGTCACGGGGGTCAGCTCCCTGTCGCTGCTCTGTCTGGGTTGACTGAATTTTTGGTACTTTTCTACGTACAGTTTTAGCTGTATCTTTGTATTTATGGTAATTATCATTTAATGCACCTCAAGCACGCATTTCTGCTCTTGACACAAAAAAAAATAACGGGTAACTTGTCTGGTTATTTCGTTAGACACGCTGAAGTCAGCAATGCTAAATTGTAAAATTATTTGGACAAGCGTGAATAAAAAAAAATCAATATAAAAAAAACGGCATGACAAAAACTGTCAAACTTTTGGAACATGAACAACATAACATTGGTGCAGATACTCAAAAAAGATAGTACTGCGAGAATATAGGAAGCTGTAATTTTGCAACTTTATCCATCTGGTATACAATTCGCTGTGAAGTAATTTCTCCAAATACAACTTAATGTGTGTCTAATATAATCCTGAATATTCGCATATTTTCTATAAAGTTTCTCAAAATTACCCTGAAGTCTCTCTTTGAAAAAGTACCAACCGATTTAAGTGCCAGAATACATCTACAATGTAATACACGAACAGTATCTGTTTCACTCCACAAATTCCTTATTTTTCTTATTATTTATTATCGATCAAGTCTTATTTTTCTTAAAACGCTAAGTCTAGGTTTGTAAGGTGATTGAATAACAGGGATGACTTCATGTAATTGTGTATAAGAATACTTTCTAGCTTTCCAGTGACACCTTGACCTTGACCATTAATGATTTATTTATAGAGGCACCAGCCATCCATATCCAGGTGCTGTTTTAGCCTCTTTTTCCTGACTGCGGATTAATAATATTTTTTTGCCAATTTATTGGTTCCGCTTCTAAATGTACCCCATATCTATAGTTCTCAACCTGGAAATCGCCTATAATTTGCTGCAATTGCCCACCCCTCCCCCTACCATTTCTCATCACTTCCCCCCCTCTTATAGTGTCATTATTTAATATGCTACCGTCTATTTTTATCGATGATTCTATTATGGATTAAGGGCATATTAAAAGTGACACTGAATCAGAGCGACGTAAGCGCACTGTTGGACATGTAGAGTGAACACACCTTTAGTTATTGTGACGTAGGCCTAAAGGACATATCACGTGACTGACACCTCACGTGACTTCGGGCAAGCCAAAGTACCACTCACTCACTGGAGACGAAACAAGTCACATCCGCAAACCAAGAACTAGCAGAAGACCAGTAGGTGGGGCCCCACCAACATCAACTACATCTAGATCTACTACTGCAAGACTCGAAGACTTAACAAGACACAAGTATAACATAACAATCAGCACCAGGCTTTTCCAGCTTTTTATTTTCGTTGTTGTGACCATTTGCAATAACTGACAATGTTCTGATTTCTTTATATTCATAAGTGTGTCCGTGCAGATGTCCTTCACAAAAACTAAGAATGAATGTGTTAGCTGTCATTGTTTTAATTCCATACACAAGAAGTGCATCTCTACCCATGTATAAACACAGTTTTGTGGGGGGTTTTAAATCCCATAAATTATCTTTCTTAGTTGTATGCAGGCTGCCACAGACACAGCTAGATTCATGAACAAACACAGAGCAACTTTCTCTTGTTAAAATGGTAGAGCAAGAGCTAACGCTGAGTGTCTTAGATTAAAAAATGCAGATGTGCATCTTTCTTCTCTTTTAAAACTTGACTATTACTACTTGCGCAGATTTAAGATTTTTCATGGTAAAAGTAAAAGACATGATATTCGTAGTCAGTTTAACACAGATTTTGGAGAGATCTGTCGCGCGTTTTTTAAATTTTTAATCATTTATTCATTAAAAGTATGTAACTCTAAAATATGACAAATTGGGTACTCTACAAATGCTTGTCTAAAACAAAAACTACGCCATAGAAATTAGGCCGGCACTATTTCTCCGAACGTTCGGGAAAATAAAGCTCGGCACTATTTCTCCGAACACTCTGAAATCACATCCTTTTCCGCAAATTTCGGATATAAGATAGATCTATAATTATAGTATATATCTACCAAAGATTGTTCGTATACAATATGGTTCAATCTGTCCAAAAAATGTCCTCAGTAAATATTTATATAAAGAAATGCTACAATTCCAAACAGTTTTTCACTACAGATATGACGTGTTGCCTATAATGAAGGGTGCTGCTCTTAAACGCATGGTGTTGTGTTCACTCGTGTGCTGTCTAGATCTAGATCTACGGAGGGTTATTGATAACGACACTTAGAACTAGCATCTGCATTTGTCACTGCCGCAACCAAAGTACTGACACTGGCAGGCCCCTTAATGTGTGTGATTCCATAATTTACATGTAATATCCTGTACTTTAAAAAAAAATTACGCACATTTAGGGTTAAAACAGCAAATCTTCTTCAGACAGGTGGACACACGCCCTTATTTGTTAATGTTTGTTGTTGTTTATGGGCTGTTCTAATTTTGATTTCATTCTGTTGTGAAACCTTTCTTTTTCACGTTTTTACACTCATCTAAAAATCTCTAGAGTGCGTCTGTGTGTGGTAGTAAGTGTGTAAAATGGAGAGTGAGGAGCGTGTGTGTGTTTGTTTTTCGGGCTTTATTTCAGCCTTTATTCAGTTAACCTAGCTAAAAGTATACAAAAATAGAAACACAGGATCCATTCACTCCAGGGCTCATGAGTCGTTCCTCTCTTTCAGTTTCACTCATTTATTCAATTCCTGTGTTCTCTCCCGCGGCTCATCCCCGTCCGCATGACTTTCACACCCCACCCCTTCCCTCCAGGTACACACAAAGAAAATTTCACTCATTCCCTTGCACCCTGCGAACCATGGACAATAATATAGGCAAAACACTGCCTGAGCTGCATTCCTTTCGTTCTTGAGCTGTGGACCAGGCCAAGGGGGTCGGTGTCGTCGTCTTGTAGTTGCTGTCGCCTGTAGATACACTCGCATATTCTTCCTTTCACCCGCTCTTTCACTCACACTGTCTCTCCATCCACAGCTCAGCTCGTCATACGTTCAAAAGTTGCCCACTGGTCATGTTTAGTTAGTGTGTGTATAAGTTTGTGTGTGTACATGTGCATGATGGTGGTGGGTGTGTGGTGGGTGTTACTGAAAATTGTCTGTAGGCGGGCTTGCCATGCGGTGTTCCTTCCCAGACCAGAGGCAGAATGAAAGTTGACGCCGAACTCTCGCAATAAATAGGCAAAAAATCACTAGACCAGAAGCCGGAAACCGTTCTAGTCACTTCGTAGAAATTAACCATTCAAATGCAGAATAAATCTCAAGACATAGAGCTTTTAGTCCACGTAAAGGTTTGCTGTGTGGAATGGGGAAGAAGTTATATATCGTTTCAAAAGTAGACAAAAATGTGAACTTCTTAAACGACAACGGCAAAGTCGCTTCAGGCTTATTAACCCCGTGATCCGTAGCCGGGGAGCTCCGGCGGGCTGCTGACTCACGTTAACTAAAGGTAACAGAATCAGGCGAAAAGTGACGCCGTGTAAGTAAAGCAAGCCGCTCGGCTCGGCTGTAACCGCCACACTCCAGTCGCGAATGTGATTGTGTCGCTAACAGTGCCAGTGATAGGGATTCATTGCCGGAAAACAGACAAGGCCATTAAAGGCCTAACTGTAAGTTTTTGAAAAATCTGGGGGGTCTCATGGGGGCTCACCCTCCTGAAGTCCACCATTATTGTTTTTGTTGAGGTTTTTTGGTTACATGATAAAGTAACGTAATTTTAACCAATCTAGGTCTAGCAAATTATTGATTTGCAACACATTTCGTTGTTTTTTTTCGTGTTCAGCAGCTAAAAGTACATTAGTCAGACCCTTAAAAAAGTGCATTTCCGTGCGGGAAGGGTTGTAAAAATTTATCGGATCCCAAGTAGCCTAGTTATTCACCCACTGCTCTTTATCAGGCATCATCAGTCAGAGAAGCTGTGTAGTAACTCTAAAAACGGGTGAAATTTTAATATATATAGATTAGCCACTTCAATTTATCCTAAACTTAGTAAAGTTAGAACTTAGACTTAACTCCAGTTCATCACATAGTATAGAATCTAGTAAGTATGCTTAGGCTTAGACCTAGACTCTAGATCTAGATCTAGATTCTAGAAATCTAGATAGTAGATAGATCTATGATCTGATTCTAGACTCTAGACTTAAATCTAGAATCTAGATATCTAGATCTAGATCTAGACGTCTAGATCTAAATATATCTAGATCTATATCTAGATCTAATCTAGATTCTAGATCTAGATCTAGATCTTTTAGATCTTAGTTTCATCTGCTGAACCAAACAAAAAAGCCAAACCTACTTCTACTTTCTGTTTCAATAGCCTGATTTCTTCATCCTTTTTCAGCAACGCTTCTTGCAGTTCCTTGATATCAGCCATACTTTGAATCCTAGAACACAGCTTAAGTTGAGAATGGAAATTAGTCGGACGCCTATGAATTCAGACCTGCAGACCTCGGCCTCGATAAATCAACCAGTGTCAATAGAAATCTGTCGCAATGATGATCAACAACAACTTTCACTTTCTTTGGACCATTTCCTACCTTTTTTTCCTTTGAGTTCCGATTTATAATTTCCGGTACAGCTACCAGAACAGCTGAACATTTCGAATAAAATATTAACCGTAATTTATTTTT